ATCCGACTAAGCAGTCTCTTAGGCAAACGCGCACATGCACACACAAACACACGAACCAGCTGCCGAATCCGACTATGCAGTCTCCTAGGCACGCGCGCACGTGCACACGCAAACACACGAACCAGCTGCTGGATCCGACTATGCAGTCTCCTAGGCATGTGCGCACGTGCACACTCAAACACACGAACCAGCTGCTGAATTCGACTATGCAGTCTCCTAGGCACGCGTGCACGTACACACACAAGCACACGAACCAACTGCCGAATCCGACTAGGCATGACACTGTTTCATTGAATTGAAAATGAAATTCTGAAAGGTACAATAGCCATGTATCTATGCGCTGTCCACACCAGTGTAGAAGAATAGATGGAAGAATTTATCTTTCTCTACTGTCTAACATACTAGACTATTTCATTTACGTATATTTAGTGGGGTAGTGATCAAGAATAACATAATGTTGCTAAAAATTGGCAGATATGACCAAGGAAGAATGGAGGACTGGATTTGATAGATAGCATAGCCAGTCAGTAAGATAGAGAGAGAGAGAGAGAGAGAGAGAGAGAGAGAGAGAGAGAGAGAGAGAGAGAGAGAGAGAGAGAGAGAGAGAGAGAGAGAGAGAGAGAGAGAGAGAGAGAGAGAGAGAGAGAGAGAGAGAGAGAGAGAGAGAGAGAGAGAGAGAGAGAGAGAGAGAGAGAGAGAGAGAGAGAGAGAGAGAGAGAGAGAGAGAGAGAGAGAGAGAGAGAGAGAGAGAGAGAGAGAGAGAGAGAGAGAGAGAGAGAGAGAGAACACTACCAGCACTTGCTGCGTGAATTGTTTGAAACGTCAATCTGTGATGGAGCAAACAGAGAATACCGCACAGCCACAAAGACGATCACATAACAGTATACTAATAAGAAACCCTTGACCACTCTTGATCAATTACAGGCAAGGTTTGCTAGAGCTCTACTGATAAAGAAAAAATTGCATTTGATTACACTTCTTCCAAATCTGTCTTAAATTCTAAATGCTCCCTAGAGTCACTAGCCTATCGTCGTCAAATCATCAGTCTCACTACTTTTCACAGATATGTTTTCCATCATCGTGATTACCTTGATGATTTCCATTTCAAGATTACGAATAGTGAGCGACGACCAAATAAAATCATTCTTCCCAAATTTAAATCATTGTCTAAGTCTCTCTTCATGTTCCGAACTGCTATTCTATGGAACTGTTTACCCCCCAGTCTAACATCGGAAGCCTCGCTCTATAAGTTCAAAGCTGCCCTCAGGAAATTTACAGCTGACCATGCTTATGCAATCAACGGAATTCCGCCACCTTGCGGTTGATTTTCCCCATTTCTCTCCTCATCAATCCCTATTTGTCTTTGTACATACATCTACATCTACTGTTCTTTCAATCAAATGAACCCCTCGATAGGCACATTGCCTTTGGGTCATTTCATAATAATAATAATAATAATCCAAAGGATCAGTCAGGGAAGTGCACTGCCTGAAAAGAGAAAAAACGCCAGACCCACCAGGACTGGTGGGTCTGGCGTTTTTTCTCTTTTCAGGCAGTTCACTTCCCTGACTGATCCTTTGAATTTGAAGTTCTCCCAACCTTTCCAAATTTAATCACTTTCTTTCACCTCTGGTAGTTTCCAGAAACTGACCGTGGTTGGTCCCCTGGGGGAGGGAAAAAGACCCAAGTGCCATCAGTATGTGTGGCACGTGTTGTGAGCTGCCTTTGGAGTGAAAAACTTGTCAGCGCCTTCTAGGTTCAGCCTGGTCCCATAGCTCAGTGGTTAGAGCATTGCTCATGACAAGCAGGGTCCCAGGTTCGTGTCCTGGTGGGTCTGGCGTTTTTTCTCTTTTCAGGCAGTTCACTTCCCTGACTGATCCTTTGAATAATAATCCAGTTAATATTTTATGACTTGGGGCTCCCCGCGTGCTAGTTTGTACGTGAAGTGTGTGGGTTACAGTGAGGGCTGTGTCCCACCCGCCTGCGTGGATTCATAGGAAGTGTGAGTTATGAAGTCTGAAGAAAATGTTGAACGGCCTCTGCTGGGATGACGACTACACCATAGCTCAGTGGTTAGAGCATCGCTGGCTACAAGCGAAGGTCCCTGGTTCGAGTCCTGGTGGTGACAGTCAATTTTTTCTTCAGACTTTTCCCGTTTGTCTCTTTCCCTCAAACCAGTTAATATTTTATGACTTGGGGCTCCCCGCGTGCTAGTTTGTACGTGAAGTGTGTGGGTTACAGTGAGGGCTGTGTCCCACCCGCCTGTGTGGATTCATAGGAAGTGTGAGTTATGAAGTCTGAAGAAAATGTTGAACGGCCTCTGCTGGGATGACGACTACACCATAGCTCAGTGGTTAGAGCATCGCTGGCTACAAGCGAAGGTCCCTGGTTCGAGTCCTGGTGGTGACAGTCAATTTTTTCTTCAGACTTTCCCGTTTGTCTCTTTCCCTCAAACCAGTTAATAATAATAATAATAATAATAATAATAATAATAAGGATGGCGTAACTCCTCTGTAGCCTTGTCATGATTTCTAATTATCTTTCACCGCCCACGGCCGCACAAAGTCCTTGGCTACAAAAAAAAATTAAAGTCTCTCCAAATCTCTCAAAACCAAACTTCAAACTCCTTTCCAAATTTTCGCCCTGAAGATGCCCTCTTGGGCGAAAATTTGGAAAGGAGTTTGAAGTTTGGTTTTGAGAGATTTGGAGAGACTTTAATTTTTTTTTGTAGCCAAGGACTTTGTGCGGCCGTGGGCGGTGAAAGATAATTAGAAATAATAATAATAATAATAATAATAATAATAATAATATTGACTGGTTTGAGGGAAATAATAATAATAATAATAATAATAATAATAATAATGTGGAAGAGAAAAAGACATATGGATACGAGTTAAGAGTAACTCTCCATCACTGTAACATGATACTATATACAGTCAGAAAGTGCAATAACTAGGCACAAAACTGACAGAGTACTGAAACATTCGACGTCCTGACACCTAGCTTCAACACATCTCCGTAGCGCTAACCGACAGCCTTCCAACTTGGAAGGTTCAAGGTTATGGAAAGACCAAAGAGGGGAAGGCAAGCGCAACGAAAACGAGCAAAAGCTACAGTCCCAACGGAACAAAGAATGTCGATTGTTACTGGACGATGACGAGACCAGTACGATATTTGACAAAGCGGTCTAACTACAATTCGAAGCAGCAAA